GACGTCCAAGTGATGTCCAAGTGACCTAGAAATGATGTCCAACTGGTGTCCAAATGATGTCCAAGTGACGACCACGTCACCTCCACCTGACGTCCAAGTGACCTCCGAGCGACCTCCAAGTGACCTCGAAGTGAGGTCAAAGTACCAAAAAAGTCTATTTTTTCTTAATTTTAACAACAGAAATGGACATAGCTGAGTATTTTAAGGAACAACAGAAATGGACATAGCTAAGTATTTTAAGGCAAATTAGTGTATTTTTAGTCATTTTTGAGAAACTTTTTTTTCCGGAGATTTCTTTGGGAAATTATTGGTATAGTATTTCAGTGTCATCCAAAGTTGACGTACCAAAAAAGTCTATTTTTTCCTCAATTTTAACAACAGAAATGGAGAAGTCAAGACCTCCAAATGATGTCCAAATGATGTCCAAGTGACGTCCAAATGACCTCCAAGTGACGTCCACTTGACCTCAAAGTGATGTTCAAATGACGACCAAGTGACGAGCACTTGTCCAAGCAGCTCATCCAAGTGACGTCCAAGTGACGTCCAAGTGACGTCCAAATGATGTCCAAGTGATGTGTAAGCGACGTCCACTTGACCTGCAAGTGACGTCCACGTGATGTCCAAATGACATCTAAGTGACCTCCAAGTGACGACCAAATGACCTCCAAGTGATGTCCAAATGACGTCCAAGTGACGTCTAAGTGACGTCCAAATGACCGTCCAAAAGTTAACGTACCAAAAAAAAGAATATTTTTACTTATATTTCAAAAACAAACATGGACATAGCTTTGTTTTAAGGCAAATTAGTGTATTTTGTTATTTTTGAGAAATGTTCGGGAAATTTATTTTTTGTAATTTTTTGGCAAAACCATAATTTTTTTGGTAAAATGTAAAGTTTTGATGAAAAACAGTTTTTTCAAAATATTTTTTCTGCATTTTTGAAAGAAAAATCTGGAAAAAAAAGGTCTCAAAATGCAAGAGTTTGTTGCAGATTCTGAAAGTATTTCAGATATTACCCCAAAAAATACGTGTTCATATAAATAGTATACAACAATTTCTACGGAAAAAAAAACATTGTCACATCGGACAAGCACGGTTGTAGATATGAACTCTATTTTCTTACTTCCTGCAAATTGATGTCTCCCTGTGGTACAACTTCAGCAGACACTGTCAGCGAACACAGCACAGCTCCAACGAACATCAGCAGACGAGCCATGGTCAGCGGGAAGACGAAGACTACGGAGGAGAGAGTGGACAAAGATTTGAGCCTTTTGAGATTCGTCTGAAACCCCTTTAAATAGTAGCGTGAGTGTTAGATAAGTGCACGCACACACGCCCTGAGGGCAGGATGGGCTTAAACATGTAAACTTTGGGAGGACACCTACATCCCAGAGGCAAAAGGGCCTTAAATCAACATGACAGGAGTCGAAAAGAACTCTGTATCACCAATCGCTTTCTATATATATATATATATATATATATAAATAAATCACATTATTGTCTACTTTGTACCATGTTGCTTTCTGGTTAGATGACAAACTACATCAGAATCTAATCTAAACATTTTAGAGAGCATTTAAATGAGGCAGAAAAAGGTTAAAAAATTAACATATATATATATACACACACATATATATACATATATTTATATATACTTATAAACTACGTACTTTGTACTTTTGTTTACAACAAACAATATATATATTGTCATAGCCATGTGCGTACATACACACATTGTTTGCTATGACGTTTGCCATGAATGAAACACATGAATCAGTACCAAGTACCGCTATGTTCCTTTCTCTTCTGTAAAGATTAAAAATAAATATAAGTAGCTACAGCTACAGCTACTGTTCAGTCAGTTTGAAACGAGCTGGAACTCGAAGATCCCTCTGACCTGCAGTAGTCTGCATTCTTGACCAGTTTCGACAGGTTTCCGCTGTGAAGAGTTCCTGCAGGCTGAAAATAATTGTCCACGATATTTTCCAGATTCTTCTGGGTTTTTTTTTTTTGTTTGTTTTTTTTACGGCGCGGCTAAAAGTCAAATTTCCAAAACATGAGACCTACGAGATTTGCCAAAAAGTAGGTAAAAAAAAGAAGAAAAAAGTCAGCAGCGGTGACTAAAGTCAGCAGCGATATAGTAAGAATGTTGCTAAAACGTTAGATAAAAACAACTAAACGTCAGCAGAGACACAGCCTGTTCGATCGCACAGACCGTACACGACCGTAGCGTTGGTAAGTGCAGTAACCGCCCACTGGGAGGCAGCAGAGTAAAGGTAAACGAAAGAGCAGAGCGGGTTAAACAGTTTGATCGATCACCGTGACAGAATGTACCGCAGAATGTGAAATGATAAAAGAATGAAGTATGTGTGGAGTAAAAAGAAAAATACTGCAGTACAACAACAAAAATCACCCGAGAATACAGTGGCCCTTTAACCTTTTATTATATCACTGGAAATACACCAGTAAATGAAGTACTGCAGTTTTTGTCAACATGCACCTGAGTGGTGAAGTGAACAGACCAAGGAGGAAAACGGTGAAGGAAGAGCAGTGAAATAAGGAATTCTATCACAGCGACGCCTACAGGGCAAAGTAGTATTAGTTACGTCACTTTGTGCTGAGATGAAATATAAAAAAAATTAAAATGTCAGTACCTGCAGCAGTATGCGCTTTTTTACCCCTGCAGATACTACTGTTGGGTAATATTAAGTAGTACGAAGATCCAGGTGAGTTGACTAAAATATTAGAAAACTATAATTAGCGCAAATTATGGCTCAAAGCTAGTGAAATATAGAAAAATAAGGAGAGGTAAAAGGGGAAAAAAATTCTACATCAGTTCCAGTTCTACGTTGGTCCTTTTGTCTCAGCCTCTGAGTCTGAGGTTTGTAAATAATCAGTTCCCTCGTGTGTGGACGGACAGATTGTTTACTACTGTATCGTCGTGCCTTCATTACCATAACCTTACAGCTCATATTGTCTTTACAAATCAACCATCGCCTAATTATTCAACTGTTTTCTTCTCACAATGAGGCCCTTTTTTTTTCCTTTCTTTTTTTTTAAAACACACCAAACCTTAGATTTTCCCAGAGTGAGGTGCGACACGTCACACCGCAGTGTGAAAAAACAATCGGCCGCAGCTTAACGCCCCATCAAAAGCCCCACAGTTCCTGTACACGTAAAACACGTATATTTATGACGTGAAACTAAATATTATAAAGGCCAGCCAAGAAGTCGCCAAAAAAAAAACGGAGCAAAAATTGAAGTTCATCGATGACAGAAAGCGAGGGTTAGGGTTTAGAATTGAGTTCATCGCTGACAGAAAGCGAGGGTTAGGGTTTAGAACTAAAACTAAACCACGTCAGTGTCGCTGCTCTGAGCCGGCGTTCCTCCGTCTGTCATGGTGAGGAACTCCACCCAGTTGTGACAGAAGCCCCGTGAGTGTTCCCCCGTGTCGGTGAGCACCCCCCACAGACGGCCGCGGCCCGTCCTGTTCCTCAGAGCCAGCTGGGCCTCGCGCTCCGTCACGTTAAGGCTGATGTTCACGACCTGCGCCACCCACAGGTAGAAGAGTCCAGCTGTGACGATGCTGCTGTACCAGGCACAGGTGAAGCAAAGGGCGGTGCTGTGGGAAACAGAGAAAGAACAAAATGAAATAATCATCAATTAAAAAAAGCATAATATTATTAGAACGACATCGAAAGACAACCGAGAGTTTTACTGTTTGTCAGGCGGAACAATTAAATACTTGTCAGCTGATGGCTATGAAAACTAAAACAAAGTTTGTCAATGCGTGACAGGCGGAACAATTAAATACTTGTCCACCAGGTGGCAGCTGATGGCTATGAAAACTAAAACAAAAGAAAAGAATCAGAGCAGTTGAAGAAGATCTTTGTCAGTGTCTTTCTTCAATTCCTGCCAGTATATCTGCGTTGTCTTCAACTAAACAAGCCAAGAATAAAAATATTTTCTTTATATTTTTCTTTAAATGTTTTGGTCCTATAACTAATAACTAACTAATTTTTGTTGACATAATCCTCAATCCTGATACTCCGATGTTCTCTCAACGTTTTAACTTTTATTCCATCACGTTCTATTTTAACCAGATCTCTCGACACCTAATCCACAGTCAGGTAATCCCACCTCCGCTCCTGTGACCTAATCTGCCGCTCATGTCATCTCATCTCATCTCATTACGTCTCGTCCTGTCTCTAATCTGGTGGTGTTTCCTGTGTCGCGTCACTCATCTCATCACACGTCACACGTGCTGAGGTCGTGGTGAGAAGTAGAGGTGAGTACTTGGACTGAGTGTAGACCCCGGGGCAGTAGAACAGAGCCGTCGCCGCGCTCTGCTCAGGACACAGGCTGCGCAGAACCAGTCGGATCCCGTACACGGACGTCAGCACAAACACCGTGAGGGTCAACAGGAAGCTGCGGTGGTTGGCCTGACCAACACAGCTGTTGATCCTGCAACAGCGCCACACGTGGGACACACACAGAAACACAACACGGACGCACACAACAACACAACAGTCAGAGCTCAGCTGCTCACTGCTATTTGACAAGGCAGTGGTGCAGATTCCTTCAGCTGCCACTGGAAAAAAATATCCTGCCCCCTAGTGGCCCCTTATGATAATTTAGTCTAATTGTAAATGTTTTTTATTCAATAAACTGTGAGTGAATATGTGAAAGAACAAAAACTGGAAACTTTTTTTATATTTAAATGGAAGACACTGAAAGAAAGTGGGGGGGCGAGGCCTCTTTGGGGACACCTCTTATTGTAGGGGGGGTCACAGCAGGGCAAGTTAAAGCGTTATTTTTAAAGTGAGTCCTGTGGGAATTTTTTTTTTTTTTAATTTTTGTTTGGGAAAAAAAACTGGGTGTTTATTTAAATATTCTTGCAGCCTGATTATTAAAATATTAAAATGTTATATTTTAGTCATTACTTTAGATTATGGGTGATGAACCCTACTCACCAGACACAGTGGTGGTCCAGACGCTGCACGCAGCAGCCACAGGTCCGACAGTGTCCCGCTCGAGGAGGCCTCGTTACTCTGCACACGGAGCACGTGGTCCACTCGGCAGCGTTTGGTCTCTGCCGCTCTCCTGCCGTCGGCGTCCCTGGACCGTGGACCTCCGCTGTAGAACGGGTCACAAACCCAGGTCCTCGCTTGGTGCGTATGAGCGAGGCGATGGTAAGAACCATCCCGGCGGTCACAGCGAAGAGCTGCAGCTGGCCGACGTCTCCACGAGGAAGAATCTCCGTGACGAAGAGATAGTACATGTAGGCCAGAGAGTACAGCGCCAGGGTGAGGAAGAAGAGGGTGCGTCTCTTCTTCCTGTGCGTGGCGTAGTAGTACCAGAGGACCAGGACGGGCAGCGCCGTCAGGACCAGGACTCCCAGCAGGTAGTGCAGTGACGCCACCCGCAGGAGAAGAGGCAGCAGAACCAGAGCCGGGATCAGAGAGACTTCCAGGTTTTCAATGACAGCTCCCAGGACTGGAGACTGAACTTCAGCCTTACATGGTTTGTCTTTCAGCCACCTAGAGGTCACACAGAGGTCAGCAGGTCAAAGATCAGAAACAGAAAAGTATTCAAATAAACACTTACAAAAATACATACAATTAAATAATTTTTTTTCAAAATGTAATGAACACTTTTTACTGTAGTTGATTCACAAACATATATAGACATATACACACATATATAAATATATATGTAGATATACATACAGATATTAAAGGCATATATTTATGTATACATATATACTGTATTTGCTTATATATGTATATATAAATGCCTTTATATTTGTGTGTGTGTATATATGTGTATATGTAATATATATAAATGCCTTTATATTTTTGTGTGTGTACATATGTATATGTCTGTGTACTATAGTGGAAAATGCTACCTAACAAAAACAAAGGGCAATAATAAAAATGAGAAGAAAAACTCGGTTAGAATATAACAGCATTCCTCGGTTCTAAGTCCTAAGTCCTCGGTCCTAAGTCGTTGGTCTTAAGTCCTCAGTCCTCGGTCCTTAGTCGTCAGTCCTAGGTCCTAGGTCCTCAGTCCTAAGTCCTCGGTTTTAAGTCCTCTCACCTGGTGACAGCTTCGTCCAGGTCCTCACAGTTACAGCAGCATCCATACTGGAAGGCGTCACATTCACAGCAGCACATGGGGTCGTCAGGTTCTGGAGGTTTTAACTTCTCCCACTTCATGGTGTCGTCAACAATGATGTTCAGATGCTGTTAATTCAAAACACAGAGAAGACGGAGCTCGTCGTTCAACAACCATGTTACCGTCAGTAATTAACAACACACACAGTAAACTGACACTACAGTGTCAGTAGTGTCAGTATATATGTGGTTTTAACCATCCATTCAAATTCTGTCCTGTTAAATCCTCAAGAGTTTCTAATGCAATTTGTCGAAACAAGGCCAGAGTGTCCACAGGGAGGCACTATCTGGGCCAGAACAGATGAGATCTGAACATTCTGAGGTCTACACGGTTAATGTCAATGAGATGTCATCAATATTTTCTCACATGTACAGATATAAATTATTTTTGTATCAAATGATTTACACCTGGTACAAACCATGTGAAAATATTCACTTCAAAATATTGAAGTTACAGAAATATAAAAGAACTCAAATATAGATTAATTTGTGAAGTTGAAAAAAATACATGATTTAATTTTTTTTTAAAAAAAACCTACACAGACGTAAAGTACTTCATTCATTAACAGTAAACCTACAGAGACGTAAAGTACTTCATTCATTAACAGAATACTTCACTGTCCATTTAAACCTGTGGGAAACTGTACTTGATACTTGGTACTCGTATTTCTTACCTTTCGTCTTGAAAAAAAAAACAGCAGTAAACCATCAGTTCATGCTCCTTCCTGGAGGAAGAGGAGGATGAGGAGGAGGTGCCGTTAGGTCTCTCCTGTAAATTGCTGCGAAGAAAAATAAAGGAGAGCAGAATAATTTCTCCACAACAGTTAATCTTAAGAAAGAAAACTGAGGACAGTGACACAGACAAAGTGCAGGAAGACGGTCTTCAGGTCCCGGGTTCCCACGGTGGACGTGTCCCCAGGAGTTCTCGTCCAACTTCCTCAGATATCATCAAAACTTCAGTTCAGTTTAAGTCTGACGTTGTTTCGACTCCCCACTACCTCAACGGAGCCGTGATGTCACGGAGTCAGCAGCCTGTCAGACGTCACCTCCTCCACACGACTGAGGAGTTCAAACGCAGCAGCAGTCGCTGCTAATCCACACACACACAGAGCGCGGCGGACAAGGCTGCATATGAGAAACATGACAGGCACTCGTAGACGAGAGAGTGAGGGAGGATCCACAGGCAGCCCCACCCTTCAGGATCATATTTCCTCCCACAGGCGACCTGACCTCGGTCCTCACACACAGAAAACTCTAGAAGTGTGTGAGTGTGTGTGTGTGTGTCCAGTGGTCCAACAAGCTCATGTGTTGCAGTTGACACTCCACTGCCCTGTTTACTGCCCTCTCCACAGACATGACTCTTTATCAAACAGCGGGCCATATCCTAGCCCTCGGGCCATAGTTTGCATTAGAACATATATTTATATTTATAGAAACAACCAGCAAATTTGACAGTTTTGAAATATAAAAATCTAAATTTAAAAAAATAGACATAAAGCAAGTGAAGAGACGTTATCGTCAGCGTAAAATCAGATTTTTCTCTGTCGGTCCATTTGTGGGTCACAGTCCTGGGGGGTCAGCGGGGTCGGGGGGTTGGGGCGACTGTTCCATTCTATATGATGCTATCTTTGTTTGACATTTACCACAACAATGTCCACGTGATAAGAGACATAGTGATAATAACCATAAGCTGCTGCCAGCTGCTCACCGACCGTGACAGAGGGGCGGAGCATCATTCATGATGACATCATCAAGAGTTCATGGTTCTACTCTTAAGTACTGAGAGGACAGAACTTGGCAGCTGGTCTCAACTGTCACCTGGGACAAAAAAAACAACAACAACAACAAACATCGTCATTGATAGATCACAGAGTTGAATGGAGGAACACTATTATAAACACAGAGATGTGCAGCAGGTTAGGGAGATAAAGGATAAAGTCTAACGCCAGGAAGGAGGAACCAAGAAGATTAGTGGATGGATGAACAGAGGGTGAACTGAGGAATTCTGGGAGTTTACTCAGACCTGAAAAGCCACAAAATGGTACAAAAAAAATCCGACACCCTCCCCCACTTTCACTCCAGTGAACCCACGTTTAGTTTGGCTCTGGTTAATGCACTTAAACACGCCCATAAAAGTTCTGCCCATCATTTAATCCAAATGGAGGAAGAGGAGCAGGGGCAGGTGCATTACAGGCTGGAGGGCTGCGATATTCTGAAACCACTAAAGCTCTTAATGTCTGGATGGACTGAATCAATGCGGGGGGAAAGACGCTGCTCTTGCTCCTGAGGGCTGTGCGTCCATTAGTCTTGATGGAGCCCGGAACCCCAGATACAGACGCTAATCTATTTTAGCAGGAATTAATGCCGCAAGATCGTAGACAACAGACCGGGCCCAGAGTGTATGACGGACACTTCGCATCAGCAAACTGCTGCATTTGCAACAAATCAAGGAGCGTTGAGTGAAAGCAGTTGCACGACCGTTGGACGGCGTGTTTGAGTGAGAGGACGAGATGAGGAAGAGTCGCCGCGAAACATGACTCAGCAGAAGGGGGAGCCTCTTCCTTTTCTTTAACCACGCCTCTGTTTCACCAAATTCATGGGACGTTTTCACGTTAATGCACTCATTAACTTCATCCAACACCTGATGAGTGAGAACTCTGACTCAGTGTTATCATTAAAGCAGTCACACAGAGGCAGGAAACACTTACCCCTGGAACGCCGACACTGACCTGCTGCCTACAAAATAGATCAACACGTGTAAAAAAATGCTACAAAAATAAACATTCATATATATGTACCTATGTGCATGTGTATTTATGTCCATATACATTTATATGCACATAAATATACAAGCACATATACATGTATATACATACATATACACACCTGTGTCGACATATATACGTATAAACATATATATGTCGACACAGGTCTGTATATACTTGTAGACACAAAAAAAATAAATACATAAACACACATCTATTTACAGATATGCACACACAGACCTACACAAAACATAAATATACTTACCTTAATACATACACACATTTAAATATATGTGTATGCATTTATAAACAAATTATATGTGAATGTAAATATATATTTACCTTTATGTTTATAACTATATATTCACATATATATAAACACACATTCAGGTCAATTATCAGCCTATAGTTCGCTCCTGCCCCCTACAGGTAAAAAATATTTATGACACGTGTGAAACCTTATTAAGCTGACTAAGATAAAGCCGAAAGATAAAGAGATAAAGAGTGAATGTTGTGTTGATTTAGACACTTTAGTCTTTACATTTATTTCAGACAACATCAATGACAGTAAGACATTTAACAACACCACTCTGTCCGACTCACCCGTTCACATTTGGATTTCTTACAGCTAAATATCAAGTATATAGACCACGACATCACTAACACACACGAGAGGTAAGAGACGGATGAATGCGTTTAACCC